AACCTGAGTTCAATCCCTAGTACCAAAAAAAAAAAAAAAAGAACAAAAGGCATATTAAAAAGAGAAAATTTAGGGCCAGGAATTTAGCTCACTCAGTGGTTCCAGCACCTGCCTCACAAGCGCAAGGTCTGGAGTTCGGAAGAAAAAAAAAAAAGAGAGAAAACTGAGGTTCCTTGTACTACCTTCTACAATCAAATTATTAAATAGACATAATTTGTATCACCTAGCAATCTGGAAGGATAATAATCTATAAACTGAGTGGTCTACTTCTACTTCTCAAGGGCACAAAGTTCATGAGTAATTAATAACATTATTTTTATGAAAATATTAGTTTATGTATTTAACTACTCTATTTCTCAACTTTCAATGTTTCTTAAAAGCCAGCATTATAAAAACAGTTTAAAGCATTCTTTTTCCCTCACTGATGCTGTGTTAAACCTAGGATTTTACGAATGTTCTACTACTCAGCGATACCCCAGCCCTAAAAATTTTTAAAATGTATCATTGAAAGACATCCCATGTTAAAATATTCATACTACCCAAAATGATGCAAAAGTGGAAATAGTCAAAATTATAGAATCTGAGGAGAAAGTTGCTAATGGGAGTTGGCAATGGACATAAGGTCTCAATTATGCAAGAAATATATCTTAGAATATATCTTAGAGATATATTAAATATATTAAATATAGAGATATATTAGGATATATTAAATAATATATTATATTGTCTATATCTTATGTCTACATATTAGATATATTTCTAATAAATATTAGATATGTTAGATATATTAAATATATTAAATATAGAGATATATTAGGATATATTAAATAATATATTATATTGTCTATATCTTATGTCTACATATTAGATATATTTCTAATAAATATTAGATATGTTAGATATATTAAATATATTAAAATATATCTTAGAGAGCCCCCTAATGTTGTTTTAGTATATGTGCTGCCGAAGGGAGCACGCCCCTAATGTTGTTAAGTACAACACTGTTCCTAAATTAACAATATTGTAACATATACATAAAATGTTAGGAATGTATATCTTATGCTGTCTTACCATAATAAAATAAAACAAAAAATATTAAAACATCATTGGTAAAGAAACAAATTTTAGACTATATAACAGATTGTAATTGCAGGTTTAATAAAAAGTTTGATATTGCATTAGCTGTGTATATTATTTGACAAGAAGTTTGGAAAACTATACCACAAGAAAATAACTGAATGCTATTATACTTTGTAGAAACATAAAAGTATAAGGTAACTTTCTAGCCACTTATCTCAAAATATAGTTTCAGATTTACAAATGAAACACTGATAAACCTGGCACAAACTTTCAGAACAGAGGTTCTGTATGTGCTATGCTCCCCTCTGGCCATCTGGAGAAGCCTATAGGCTCCTTTCAGAATGTGTTTTTGAAACGTATAAAATACCATACCATCAGATACAAAGTAAACAAGTTCTAATGAATTATGTTATCAAAATATTTAAGATGTAGTAAAACAACAAGACTCATCTCTTACTAGGTTATAAGATATATACATGCCATTACTAATAATACTGTTTTGGAATTATTACTAAAGAGTAGTAATTACTAATACTATTATTAGTAATAATTCCAAAACAGTGACATGTATAAACAGTATTTCAGTATCTGCAACCACTTATGCAGCATGAAAATATCTGTGATTTTTACTAGACAAAGTCACAGGGAATGTTACTACTACTGTGACTTGTCATCTATCTGATCTGATGGCAGGAAATTTGTTAGAAGTTAATAATAAAAATATAAATTTTTATTCACTTAATTTTACAGATCCTCTGGTTTGGACTCCACCCTACTTAAAAACTCTTGCTATCCTATACATAGCAAAATATCAAGGCAAATGCAGTCTGGCTTTCTTCAATCAAAATACAGATTGACCTATACACTCACATTCTTTTTTGTTTTTTTTTGGTACCGGGGATTGAACTAGGGTCCTTGCGCTTGTGCAGCAGGTGGCAAAACCACTGAGCTAAATCCCCAGCCCTCATATTCTTTAATTAAATTAAGAATGAAATCTGGCAGGGGAGCTCTTACCTGAATTATTTCTGGAGCTACTTGTAAGGAGGGCAGGTATTCCTGTTGAAGATACTGAACACATTCTGGGCCCTAAAGATTAAAAGATAAGTATTTTCTTTAAAGACATTAATAATACTTAAAAAGAAATTAGAACAACACATGCATATTTTAAAAGCAACACAGTATTGTGATTTTTTTTTTTTTTTGAGGTACTAGGCATTGAAACCAGGGCCTTCACAATTAGCTAGCATTACAGGTGTGTGCTACCATGCCCAGGACAAGGCTTGGTTATTTTTTTTAACCTCTCTCCTCCTCTGTACCGAGGATGGAGCCCAGAGGTGCTCTATCACTGAGCTATAGCTCCAGTCCTTCTAAGACAGGAGCTCTGTAAGTTGGCCAGGCTGGCCTTAAACTTGGAATCTTCCCAAGTAGCTGGGAATATAGGCATGCACCACTGTTTCTGGTTTAATACAAGGATTTTAACCATCTGTTCCTGTTTTATCATGTAGCTATCACTTCTGCTTCCACACCTCAGCTAAAAAATTCTATTATCTCACACAAAATTCACTATGCAACACCTGATCTATCTTTCCACCCCATCTAATTCTACCAAGAATGCCAGTTCCTCTTCTTTGCAGTCCAAGCAATGTACATTTGTCTTAAGATCTATCAAAAAAAAGGTGGTTTTTTCCCCCCTATGGCTTACTTAGGTTGCTTCCTTGGTAAAATTGCTTATTCAGCTTTAGTACCACAATATTTTATATATCTTTATTAAAGTACGTAGCCCTTTGAGAACTACTCATAAAATTGGTCTCCCTGGATTCTGAGCTACACAAGTGCCAGGGACATTTATTCATCTTTATATAGCTCCTCTACTGGCCCCAAACATACACCAATTCGGTCTAGCACAGGGCTAACCCTATCCATAACCCTAAGTGTAGAGAAAAGTCAAAATCCTAAGTTGAAAACCCTTTAAATCTCTCTCAGAATCAAAAACTCAAGCTCAAATAAGTGAAGGGGCTAAAAGGAGCGCACTCTTTTCAGGGGAGGGGAAGACACTGCTGCTGTTTAGATGACTGCAACTATGAGGAAACGACAGTCCTGAGCTGGCTCCCTTGGCTCTCAGAGAAGACAGAGGTAAGAGGTTGTATTAAAAGAAAAGAAAAAATCTTATTTTTAAATGTTGGCAACCAATCAAGTTATTTGAAAATACCCAGAATTACTTATGATTTATACAAATTGTTAGAGCAACAAGGAAGAAGGAAACATTCTAAAGTGATGTGGTCTCTAATCATTTGTCATAGTAAAAAGCTGGAGAAATATGGCTATGAGGAAGCTGGATCTTGAAATTCTGGTTAAGATTTTTCATGTCATTTGTCAAATCAAAACAAATACACATTTGAACCTTCTTGTTATCCAAAATTCAAGGACAATAATAGCTACTGTTACTTCACTGCTATTTCCATTTGACCCCTTTCCCATATCAAAAAAAGTTTATACTGGTTAATTATCTCTTATAAAAGATGAGTCAAACACAAAAAACTATAACAAATATTATGCATGAGATGAGAATGAAGGAGCACAGATCACGAACCTTACCCGTTTGAGATGAATTGTTTTCAGTGTCACAGCACACTCAGATAGAGCCTGTGAAAAACAAATTTAAGAGTTTTAATATGGTCAATTCTTGATTACTGATGTAACCTTTTATTTTCCTACTGACTGCCAGGAAAATAGATAAATAAATATTTCCAAAGAAACATTTACCTCCAAAGAAAGGACACAGGAAGGAAAGGTAACAGGCAGGTAGATTAAGGAGGCTGGATAGAAAATGCAACAAAAAGAAAAAGAACAAAGCGAAATGCTGCCTTAATGGAACAAACTACAATTATGAAATATGGTTTTCACTAGACTTGAAATATGGCTTTGCACTTGACTGATAAAAGGCCAACTATTTGACATGATATTCCAAAGATGAAATTCTGAGAAATTATCATATGGCATAAGAAAGTGGCCATTTAATGTTCTTAATAGCTAAGGAAAACCATTAATTTGAAGTAGGAAGGGCTGGAGATGTAGCTCACTACAAGAGTGCTTGCCAAGTATATGAAAGATCCCAGGTTTGATATCTAGCACCCCAAATAAATTAATGAAGTTGTAACTTAAAATCACAACCAAAAAAAAAAACAAAAACGAAACAATGAAACATAATATAGTCAACCTGGCATTAAACAGAAGAAAATGTGAGTATACAAGATCTATATAAGGCAAAAAAAGATCCCCAAGTACTTACCAATACTGTTTGTGCATCTGCCAGATCAAATGTTTGTTTTAAAGGTGCTAGGAAACATGCAGGAACAATGTGCTTATAAACAAAATCAGCAAATCCCACTGGTCCATCTTTACCTCCTATTAAAAGAATTCAAATTTTTCATCTTATATCTTTTTAAAAGATATCACCAATCTTTTATTTAACTAAGCACCACCCTTCATTTTGAAGAAAATGATACAATTTCAAATTGGAACTTCCTTCTCAAGAAGTAGTGTAAGAATATCTTTGATTTAACATACAACCTTCAAGAAAAACATTTTATACAATTCATTGGGAAATAAAATGCAGTGAAGTCTATCCTGTAAGTTAATGTAATTTTCCATGGGTCACAAGTATTACAGCCAAGAAAAAAATATAGTGAATAAACCAGTCAAATTTATAGTTATTCTGATTTGTAAAAACTCACAAATGATTCAATCCCCGGTACCAAAAAATAAAACAAACTCACAAATGAAATCTAACTTTCCAAACAAATTTATTTTATGACCATGACCACGCTAGATTCTTTTCTAATTTATATAAAAAAAGTTAAGAGAAGCACATAATTATCAGGAGTCTTCAATACAGTAGATCCTCTTTTTTAAGGAAAAAAAAATACAAAATAAATAGTCCTTAAATGTTCTTAGCTCTCCATAGCATATGTCATAAAAAATTAAAGTTCTACTCCGAAAACATCACTTAATTCATCACCATGGAAATTCAACTCCCAATTCCTGCCTATGTTTGGGCTAACATTTGATTTTATCTCTAAAATGAGTGTTATTAAACAGGTTGGAAAACAAAAGTTTAAAAAAAAAATTATCAGGCTGAAGACGTAGCTTGGAAGAGCACTTATCAGGCCTTGGGTTTGATCCCTAGCATTACCAAAAATAAAAACAAAACAAATTATCTCACCCCAGAGTTCTACCAACTTTGAGAGGATGATAAAGCATGTTTTCTGTGCAATTGGATCTGGATAATCAACAGCTCCTTGGATAACAGTTACTAACACTTGTTCTACATTCTCTGCACCTGAAGACAAAAACATGAGTTTAACTTCAAAAAGAACTAAGAAGGCATCCTGAAACCTTTACTGCATACAGAGTAACATGTAAAAAGCATTTACAGAGTTAGCAAGATACCCACATTTTTATTAATTAGGCACCTAAATGTTAAGTACTGAAAACTCAGTATTCTCTTGATAGCTTGCTCCTTAGGATTTCCTATATAATGGAAGTGTCTATGTTGATCTATACAATGCTGTTAATTTTTAATTTCAAAATGGCAAACTTGGGCTGGGGATTTAGCTCAATGGTTCTGCCGCCTGCCTTGCAAGCGCAAGGTCCCAAGTTTGATCCCCAGTACCAAAAAAAAGAAAAGGCAAACTGACCAGCAACACTCAACTGTCTGATCAACTCTGGCAAATGATCACTAGATTATTTATATTACTAAAAAAGAATATTAATTTAGGAAAAGGGAAATTGAATAAAAATTTATTATATGGTATTGCACATGAAAGTAACTGAGTTCTATCCTAAAAAAAATAATGAACTGGGTTCCTAGAGGTCAACACCCAACTGTTTTGTATTTACTCCAACTTGTCCTTGCCCAAATAAACAGACATACAACTGTGAAAAAGATTTAAGCAGACAAGTTGTTAGGCACGGAATGTACCCCACCTTGATTTGCTATAACTTCACTCATTCCACTGCCCGTGACTGTTTGCAGGAAGGCAAAGTAACTCCTCCGCAACATCTGCTTCTCTAAAGCAGCAGACTGGTCATTCTCTTCTGCTGGTCGGAGAAGCACTTCAAAAATTGCACGAAGTAGAGGCATGAACATCTGCTGTAAAAATGGGGAAACCTGTATCTGAAGATAAGAAACAACTATTAGTAACTTAGACATAAGAAAATACAAAACTTGGAAAAAACTTTTTACAGAAAGTGTCTCCTCAGTTTCTATTTAGGATTATATAATTCCATTAGAAAACATCAAGTTTATGACAAAATGTATGTAACATACATTAATGAAACTCTCAAGATCATTAAGTTCAATCCATTTCCTAAGATTTAGGTTAAAATAATAGGTAGTTCCAAAATAAATAAATAAAAATAAAATAATAGGTAGTCACAATCAAAAATTGTCATGAAGGGGCCGGGGATTCAGCTCAGTGGTTCCAGCGCCTGCCGTGCAAGCGAAAAGTCCCGAGTTGGATCCCCAGTACCAAACAAAAACAAAAACAAAAACAAAAACAAAAACTGCCATGAAGTAATTTAAATTTAATTTCCAAGCAATGAATTCTTTTGCCAAATTAAAAATCAATATATATTATCAAACCTTCAGGTTTTATATGCCCTTGGACAAATTCCTTAACATCATTGTGCCTCAATTTCCTCATCTATAAGATAAATTTCCAATTTCCTAGGGTCATTATGAAAGTCAAGAGTTAATGTGCAAAAAATATTTGACAGATTTTGAGCTCAGAAAGTATCATATGTTAGCTAATTTTTTTTTTTTTTTTTTGGGACTGGAGATCAAACTCAGGTCCTTGCGCTTGCGCAGCAGGCGGCAAAACCACTGAGCTAAATCCCCGGCCCTGTGTTAGCTATTTTTAATAGCTAGCTTATATCTGGCTTAAATTTCTTTGTACATAAAATTGATTGTAATACACTGAATTACTTTTTTTTTTTTGGTACCGGGGATCGAACTCGGGACCTTTTGCTTTTGAGGCAGGTGCCGGAACCACTGAGCTAATAAATCCCTGGTCCACACTGAATTACTTTTAAACCATAGCTTGAGCAGCTAAATCAGTGCTTATTTACCTCTTTAGACAGTGAGGCCTCAATACTATTTTTATTTGATTTTCTGAAACAGCAGACTATTTTCTTCTGCTATATTAAGTGGAGTTTTTTTTTGAGACAGGGTCTCACTGTATAGTTCAGGCTGGCCTTGAAAGCAACTATGTAGCCCAGGCTGGCCTCCAACTCACAGTGATCTTCCTGTTCAGTCTCTGGAGTGCAGAGATTACAGGTGTGTGCAACCACACCCGGCTGCCTGGTCCATTTTTATTAAAACATCTAGGAAGACTGAGGTGTGTGTCAGACAGTGTGCTAGACACTGGAAATAAAAGTAACTCATTAAGAAAAAAACTCCAAAATGAAGACATGACTGAAAAGAAATACATCTAATCTTTAAATCAGAAGAAGATGATTAAGTCAGGTGAGTCTTAGAGCTCTGAAAGTTTGTAGTACCTTAAATTTGGCTGTAATCTGGTTGATAAGGGGAATGAACTCCTGGAGGTCTTTTGCTTCACAATCTTTGAGCATGTGTTCTGAGGCAGATGGGATGAATGGAAGAACTTCTTCCTCTAGGCAGATAATCATTCGATGAAGAAAAGTACGAACTCCACTTCTGAGAATATCCTTTTGTAAGGGACAACTGAGGGCTGGCAAGAATGTCTGTAAACAGTCCAGATAAACTTCGGAACAGCCACATTGTTTTACAGTCTGCTTGTTGCTGAAAGCTTTGCTGGTTCGACTATGTAAGCAAAAACCAGACAACCAGAGTTAACTTTTTCTTTAAAAGTAACACACAGATCTAAGAAATCAATCATCTTCCTCATCACAATTACTTCTATCCTTAGCTATTATGATTATGTGTGAACTATTGCTTCCAGACATTATTCCAGAACAAGAGGCTCAAATTAAATAGGATGCAGTTAATATAACCCGAGTCTATCTAAATGCTTTACTAAAATCCTGATAAAGTATACAGAAAAGAAAAACATACCTATTCACTATACCTAAGCTGTACTAGGCAATCTGCAAAATATAAATTAAATTTAGAAAACAATCTCCAGAATCTATTTATATAACCTTTCTGAGTCCTAACTCTTCCTCTGAAGTATTCTGTAGAGAATTTTCTTTATAACTTTTAATTTACAATCACTCCAACTTTTATGCTATTACTGTTTGCCAATAAAAAGCACAGGTAGAAAGAAATAGCTGCTTGAGTAGCCTTCCAGACTCAATGCAACAGCTAAAGATAAGCCTTAAAACCTTCTCTTTAAGGTACCAAGACCAACCTAAGATGCCCCAATATTGCTTAGTATATAACACATTAGCTCTTTAAATACATAATCAGTTTATACCAAAGAAGCCAAATGAGGGGTTAAGAATTTAGATGGTGATCTAAAGCAAAAATGTAGAATGGTATGTCACCAATTATCCTGTTTAGCTAAATTTTTTCACTTACTGGATTTAGAAGAGAAAGGTCTAGACAACTACGAATAATCCAGCTCTGGAAACAGACATGTGCACCCATCCCAAAAGATCCAAGTAAGTGGATCTGAGTAGATATAAACACCTTACAATTTTAATTGCAATTATGCTCACCTGGCAAATCCAACAGCATGGTTCAGACAGTCTGCCAGAGATGCCTGTCTTTCTTCATCTTGTGCCAGCATCAATTTTTCTAACAGAACTTTAAACTTTTCCATTAGTGGAGTCAACAGATTCCTCATTAATGCTTGCTTCCTATCTGCTGAGTATTCGCTATTAACAATAAGCACTCCAGCTGTCTCATAAATAAATAGTTGATCATCACTGCTCAACAAGGACTGGTATCCATTCTCCTAGGATGAAGTTTAGTCTTATTTAGTTCCTCTTAATAACAATGACATTAATAGGAACAGGAGATTTAATATATCACATCAATTCACAGATCAAGTACTTAGAAAAACAAACTTTCTCCCACAACCGTGTAATAGAAAGCAAACTGTTAATGCTCACTGTTCTACTCATAGTGCTGGAGTAAGGGTGTAACTCCGGAGTAATATGTGTGCTTTGCATGCCCAAGACCCTGTCTTCAATCCCCAACACTGAAAAAAGGCTAGCCTTGATAAGACTCTGCAAATCATTAAATAAAGTAACTATCAGTTAACCTTTTTATTTATGTCCTTTTGTAAATATCCCTTTTTTTTTTTTTTTTGGTACTGGGGATCAAACTCCGGACCTTGCGCTTGTGAGGCAGATGGCAGAACCACTGAGCTAAGTCCCCGGCCCCAGTAAATATCTTATTTGTAAGACTGTTATGAGGTTAAAGATGAGGTATTATGTAAAAATGTTTTGTTGGTGCAAAGTCACAAAGAACTAATATTTTCAAGTGCTCAAAGCTCACATAATATATACACACAAGTATACAATACCAGTTACTTTAAAACATGACGAAAAATAGACTATAAATTAAAAAAAAAAACAGCTCTTATTCATAAACAGGCAAACATACCATATCCTGCTAAAATTTTATTGGAAGATTTTGTTAATTTTTACATTTACACGCTCAGGATAAGATGAGATGAGGGAAAAATAAGAGGCCCCTCTACGTTCAACACTAAAATTCTCGATTAAGAAATTATAGTCCAAGGAGCCGGGGGTTTAGCTCTGTGGTGCCCACGCCTGGCTCGAAAGCACAGGGTCCTGAGTTCAATCCCCGGTCCAAAAAAAAAAAAAAGAAAGAAATTATAGTCTAGGCCGGGGATTTAGCTCAATGGTGCTGCACCTGCCTGGCAAGTGCAAGGTCCTAAGTTCAATTCTTGGTGCAAAAAAAGAAAAAAAGAAATTATAGTTGGGCATGGTGGTGTAAACCTGTAATTCCAGCACTTTGGGAAGCTGAGGCAGGAAGACTGCAGGTTTGAGTCTGCCAAGGGAACTTAGCAAAACCCTTTCTCAAAATATAAAATAAAAAGGCCTGGAGATGTTAACAGTGCCAAGGCCCTGGTTTCAATACCCAGAAACAAACACACGTTATTATATAAAAACCTAGTCTTTTTTTTTTTTTTTTAAAAAAAACCTAGTCTTAAAACAGATAAACATGAGTTTATTATAAAGAATTCTCTATCCACTGCAAGAGAAACGTCCCCAGTGAAAAGTAATTAACACATTTATTAAGTACCTGGTAGGACTTATTTCTGTTCTAATAGCTGAGAACACAAAGATAAAGTCACTCTACAAATACAAGGCACTCTAAAAGTGGTCAATATTCAAAAAAGCAATCTGAATCAGGTTTTTTTTTATGCAATGAAAAAGGAATATAGGTACGTGCATCACACCATGTGAAAATCCACATGGAAAATTTCCAGTATTTGTAAGATAACAGGGCTATGTCTCATGGGTCAGTGTGAACTGCCAAGGAAAACTGGCAAGAAGTAGGTGAAGTAATAATTTAAAATAAGTTTTGGTTGTATGCAGGCAGAGCTAAATTAACCACATAATTCACTAATAATCTTTCATGCAGTGATGTTACAGACCTTTACAAACCTGAATTTTGGAAGAATGAAAGTATGATTTTATATTTAACATTCTCAAATGACAACTCTAGGAATCATTAAATGTCAGTATTTTGCTTTGCACAAAAAATAAGTCAAAATGTACTTACAAATATCTGATATCTTCCCAGTGAAATGGACACCAACTAGCATGTAAATGTTTTTAACCTAAGCCTAAAGATATACAGAAAAACTCCCATGTAATATTAGCAGTTGTTAAGAACAGATGTTGAGGGCCGGGGATTTAGCTCAGTGGTTTGGCCGCCTGCCTCGCAAGTGCCAAGGTCCCGAGTTTGATCCCCAGTACCAAAAAAAAAAAAAAAAAAAAAAAAAAAGAATAGATGTTGAATTTTTTCTTCTCTATAAAATACTTCACCAACAATAACAATACTGAGAAATCACACCATTCTCAATGGTGCCAAATTTATTAATCAACTCTTGATTCTTTTCCATTACTATATATTATTTACCACAGTAAAAGAATTCTGATAAATAGAACCAAATAAACTTTGTATACACACCTCTCCCCACTGCAAGTTAAAACAAAGGTGTAAAAAGACAAAAGCTTATGGTATATGTGGCCTCAATGATATTTAGGAAAAAGGCAGCTACTTACCGGTGGAGAAAGGGCCAATAAATCTTGTATTCTATTCAAAATATCTTCAATGAAAGGATTCATTTGTTTACTAAATAAAGGCAAAAAGGAAAATCATTAAGTAACAGTCCTCAAAAAAATTGCCAAACTACTAAATCCCTCTTTAAAACAGAACTAAAGAGCCAGGCATTCTCCTGCATGCCTATAAACCTAGCACTGGGAAGGCTGAGGCAAGGGGACTGCCATGAGTTCAAGGCCAGCCGAGGCTACATACTGAGTTCAAGGCCAGAACTACATAGCAAGATCTTGTCTCCAAAAGGAAGGAAGGAAGGAAGGAAGGAAGAAAGAAAAAGAAACTAAAGAAAAGTTCATTCCTACACTAACCACACTTGATTAAGACTACCTATGATTAATTTTAAAAAATTATCTCTATCTGCTCTGTAGTGATGGACTGTCAAGACAACTTGCAATCTCAATTATTTTCACACCAAAAAATGTAGTAATAAAGAATACTATGAAACAGGTTAAAAATGCTTTTTCAAGGAATATTTTCAAGAATTTCAAAGAAACCATATAGTAATTTGTTGCAATAAAATTGTTACTTAGCTAGCAAATGCCACAAGTGATGATAGGCGTTATCACTGGACATATGCAAACAGTGGCTAAGGGTGCAGCTCAGTGACCAAGCATGCACTTAGCATGCACCAAGCCCTGGGTTCAATGCCTAGCATCAAACACAAAAACATATGCAAACAAACCACCTGTTAGTGCTGAGCAAAGTACTTGACTAATAAGCAGGAACACACATCAAAACAAAGGGAGCCAGGCATGGTGGTACATGCTTGTAATCGCAGCACCTGGGAGGCTGAAGCAGGAAGACTGTCATGAATTTGAGGCCAACCTGGACTACATAATGAGACTGTCTCAAAAAACCAAACCAAAAAACCTCCCCAAAAATAAAAAAGAAAAATATACCTAGTAAAGCATGCCTTAGAAGAGAAAAAAACCAAATCTATTCCAGACTCTTAGGAAGTAATTTATATGTCTATTTTATAGCTTAAAAAAAAAAAGACTAAACATAATAGCTGAAATTTTATACTTACTTGAGAGACTTGACAAATCTAGAGAACAGGTAAGCAGTTCTGCTCCGTACTTTAGCACTAGAATGCCGTAGACCCCTGTGATCTAAGAAAGCCATCTAAAGAAACAGAGACACTTTTATTTCTGCACTTACTCAGGCTTTCAATTACTCTTACGCTAAATTTTGTTCACATCAAATTTTATTTCTTAGGCTCCTTTATTTCAAAGCAGACACCAGAAATACACAAGTAATTTTATATTACACACAAATAGGCTCTTGAGGACTTATTTGCAATGATAAGCTTTTGACTCTGAGAAAAGTAATACAAGACAGAAAGAACACTATCTGGTTATTAGCTGAACTACATAAAAAATAATCCAGAGTAAAGTGTATACTTACTAGTACATTTGGAATGTGTTGAGGTTCAACTGTGAAAAACTTTTCATATCTAACAACAGTTTCAAAGAATTCCAACGTCACAGATGTATGCTGATAGGAACTGACTCCTGACGTTACCAACTGAAGCAAGAAAAATAAGAAAAATTCTTATTTATTGCAACATCAAAAAGCTCCAGTATAAACAATGAAGCTCCAACAATTAAGAAACTTCCATTAGCTTATAGTAAAAAACACTATTTTCAAAATAAATTATCTTTAGTATACTTACAGTTCGCATCATATCCTGCAAAGCACTAGCTTTTGAAACATCACCTGAGAAGTGAGCACCATGAGATACTGGAAGAGCTTCTGCCAACATATACAGCAATCTTATTGCTACTTCAACTTCCATAAACCGTGTAGTCTGCCAATTCCTACCAAGGGGCAAACATGTCAGTGAAAACTGAACATAAACTTTTTACACAACTAGTGATACACAAGATAGTAACACACATACAAAAGCCTCTTTCATGATTAAAAAGTCGTACTATTCATTAATTTTGCCAAGCAACACATTTATATCACAAAAGTAGATCAGGTAAATTATGAAGGTATATTGTTTCCAGATACATATAAATAATATGGATTAAGAAGTCACATGAGTCACTGGTTTTATACCATCATCAGGGAGCAAAGAAGCAGACTTACTACAAAAGCAGTAACAAACTTACTGCAGTGTAGAACTAAAAACTCTGCGAACAGAAGCCAGCAGTAACTCTGGTGAAACTTGAGCAAGTCTGTCCAACAATAACTTCAATTGTTTTCTATATTCTACAAACATGGCTTCATCTTCACCCTATGGTACAGGTTAAAATACTTGTTAAATTTTTTAAAAGACCTTAAAATTCATATAAATGTTCAGTTCTGTACTTTTCTGCACTTATAAAGTTTATACTTTTATTTTTCATCAATTTTTATTCATAAAGAAAAATCACTATACCTAGTAGCTTTTCCCCTTCTGCTCACAAATAAGTATTTCTCAACATAGCACTAGCTCTCAAAAGCCTACAGTTGGAAACAGTGTAAGCAGGTGAAGGATGAGCGTGTAGAACCAGAATGGGTTCACACTGTACTGAGATCTCGAGCATCCTGTTTATTCTCCTTTGATTTTAAACAGTGATGCTAACATTGTATGATATGAGACACGAAATATTAAGAGCCTGGTAGTGTTGATCATTTATTCTCTACAGTTCAAAGTTTGTGAATGCTTGAAGTAGGAATGGAGTATTTTAGCTCACACCCAAACAGGACATGCTATGATTGAGTTCCCAGGAAGCATCTGATGGCACTGTGTTTGACAGGAAGCTGACCCTCCCATAACTATGGCCAAGACTTGTAACTAGAACCAGTCCAGACAATTAAGCCTACTCTCTAAATCCAGACTTGATGACCTGAGGCCTGCTGACTTGGCCTCAATTCATTCTTATTAAATATAAGGTGACATGATCACCAATAACACTGGCAGTATTTTACTAAGTGTCCACCCCCCCACACCCCCAGCAGTGCTGGGACAGAACCCAGAGCCCTAGGATAGTTACCAGGCAAGCATTCTACCATTGAGTATACCACCATTCCTACAAAGTTGGTATTTTGTTTGCTTTACAGTAGTGGGGCTTGAAGCCAGGGCCTTGCCACTGAGCCACATCCCAGCCCTTTATTTTTTGAGACAGGGTCTTGCTAAGTTGCTCAGGGTGAACCTGAACTTGTGATGCTCCTGCCTCAGCTTCCCAGAATGCTGGGATTACAGTCATGCATCACCACTCTGGCTCCTACAAAATGTTTTTAAGATGATTATAAATGGACAAAACATCAAAGATGATAGACTTCATTTAATTTTACTCAGTTAACATCAATATAAATAAGACTGATTTTTCAAATATTACTTCTTGTTTTAAAGGGCCCCCAAACAACAAAAACTTGAAATATTCTGATGCAAGCAAAAAATAAAATTGAAACCAGTTTCTCTCTAATGCAGAAATTCTTACCTCATTTTCAAAGTTATATTCTTCATCATAAGTCAATTTTTTCATAACAGCTAACATGATTGCCTAAAATTAAAAATAAAAGTTTTGTCAACCAGTCTTCTTCAATTTGATGAAACGTGAAATTAAGTTACATTTCAAGGCAGATTCCATACAAAGAAACTACAGATTTACAAGAAGGATAAAGAAGTCAATTACCTCTACATTAGCTTTTTGTTGATCTGAGAGCACCGTAAGCTGTTAAAAAGTAAGCAATAATTTATTAGGGTTCCTGATGTTATACTTGCTTATAAGGATAATTTTCTACTCAATTAAGATCCTCTGAAAAATATATATAAATATCTGGAGAGCAGTCTGAAAGCACCTGTCTGTATTTAAAACACATCTAAGCTATGATCTAGTAATTTCACTTTCAGTAAATAAACATCTAGGCAGACCTGTGGGCAAATATGATTTTTAAGTTATGTATAATATAGATGGCAAAAAAGCAGGTGACATAAGATAGGAAGGGACAGTGTCCTGTTGCTTTTAAACAGGTCCAGAAACCCATTTAGAAATCTAATGAGACACGAAATATTAAGAATATTGATCATAATCACAGTTATCCTTTACAGTCCAAAGTTTGTGATTACCATTAGTGATCATACCTTCTACAATGACTAAAATTTAATGTATGGAGGCAGACATGTGTTATGTTTATTAACAATAAAGGAAGTTAAACTCCTTTGCAAAAAAAAAAAACCAACTAATTTTGATCCAATTAACCCAATGCAAATAAGACAGAAATGGATTTCTTTTAATGTCATAAGGAGAAGTAACTAATTTTTTCAAAATGCTGTAATATGGAGACTAACATCATTTATATTTTAAATTCTTTAAAAAAATTTTAAATATATTTTAAATTCTTACTGGAAATAACTCAGGAAACAACTGTGAAAAATTGTTTATAAGAAATGATATATGGGCCAGGGATTTAGCTCAATGGTTCTGTCACCTGCCTCGCAAGTGGAGGGTCCCGAGTTCGATCCCCAGTACCCACAAAAAAAAAAAAAAAAAGTGATATAAATGAAATTAAGATAATCACATTTAACAAAATTTCTAATGTAGAAATAAATATAGGTTCAAAATGAAAAACAAGCCAGCCATGGCAGGATACACCTGTAATCCAGTTCTCAGAAGGCTGAGGCAGGAGAATTGCCCTGACTTCAAGGCCAGGCTGAGCTACAGAGTCAAAAAAACCAAACATAAAACAAAACAAAAAACCCCCCAAAATATCAAAAACCAAAAACCAAAACCAAAATAAACCTAATACTATAGCTTGTTAGTGTGGTAAATTTTAAAACCCTCCTTTTCTGGATAAGAATTATTATTAAAAGCAAAAAACAGGGAGCTAGGTATGGTGGCCTATGCTTATAATCCTAGTACTTTTGGAGGCTGAGAAAACAGAGGCTCATAAATTCAATGTCAGCAGGGGCAAATTGGCAAGTTCCTGCCTCAAAATGAGAAAAATAAAAAGGGCTGAGGATACAGCCCACTGAGAAGGCCCTGGGTTCAACACTTAGTACTACAAGCAAAACAAAACAAAACAAAACAGAACAGGGAAATTACATTAGTAATTATATATCTCTGGGTAATGGAATTATGGGTGTTGTCTTAATTTCATTTCCCTCATATTTTCCAATTCTTCATGGCTGTTTTATACTACCTAGTGGACAAAAGAATATAACAGGACTTACCTGCTTCAAAATATGAAGATAATCATAACAAAACCCAATTATGTTAGAGGAGATGTCATCGTCCTCATGAATGAGTAGCTGCAACATAAGCGCCACTTTGGTTTCAATAGCCTGTAGTGCCTCTTGAGCATTTTTGATATCCCCACTCTTAATTAACTTAGTCCAGCTAACTATCAATGACTGTCCCATTCCATTGACCAGCTTAGAAAACCTGGCCAGGAAGTCCACATCTTCTTCCTACAAGCAGTCAAGACAAACTTCAATGTATAACCACCTACTCCAAGAACAAGAAGGAAAACCATAAATATTAGTATGAATCCACTTACAAGATTCATTTTGAATGGACATTAGGCATTTAACAATTCTACCATTGTGACTGGGGAATTTTCAAACTGTGAGGAATTCTGCTACCATTATTATCCACTAGTACTGTTTTAAGCAACTATTTTTAAAGCTTGATAATTCTGTAGACATTACCAGCTTTATACAAGCTTTAAAGAGAATAGTTCTTTCAGAACTTTCTTTCTGAACTATTGAGTTTAGCAAATATGTCCCATGAAGTAGATGTTGCCACACTGCAGTATGTGTAACAATTTTCAAGAGTCCTTTCTGATACTATGATTTAGGCCTCAATTATCCTATGAAGACACAAAATTGCTATCGTAATAACCACCCTCAGGTTCTTAATAAGTGTTAAAGCCAGAACTCAAATTCAGGTTACTTTTATTAACTACCTGTTATTATTAACTAGCTGTTCTCTAGAGCAGTGGTGACAAACCTATGGTACGTGTGCCACAGTGGGCTGTTATCATTAAAAGCTCTAAAAGATTTGCCATCACTCTCTATAGAAAGAGGATCTACTCTTAACCTTTTCAGACTTTTTTTTTAGCCAGGGACTAAGAAAGACAATTAGTAGAAAGGTACAAAATGTTACTTTTGGTCTATGATTAAGGGAAACACATGAAAGCCATGCTATAGGTATATCACCAATACAAAGGTATCTTAGAAATTCTTTATTCTCTGTCAGAGCTAAAACTTAAGAAGCCTTCATGGTCTGGGGACATGGTTCAGCGGCAGAGCACTCACCTAGCATGCCTGAAGCCCTGGGTTTGATTTTCAGCAACACATACACAACAAACCCCAAAAAGCCTCAAATTATCTAAGTTACTAATTTATCATACTCAGAGCCCTCATTCACTTGGGGCTAAACTATTAAAAGCAAAAATGAATTTTAAAAAATTCAAACATGACAAAAATGCAATTTTTATGATTACTGGGTCTTATTTTGGTTAAAATCCACCATTATGTAATTGGTATAGTCCCTTGCTCCTCAATGTCTGGCCTTTGGTCCAGCAGTGTCAATCCTAGTTTGGAAAAATACAGTACATTCCTGTAATCCCAGCTACCTGGGATTCTGAGGCAGGAGGAGCCAATTTGAGGTCAGCCTGGGCAACACTGTAAGACCTTGTTTCAAAACAAAATACAAAGTACCAGGGATATAGTTCAGTGTTCCCTGGGTTCATTATCACAAAATATACACACACACACACACACAAACACACACACCTCAAAAACAAAATGAAAGAAAAACCATAAAAATCCACAGCTGAATGCACCATTCAAACCCTCAAGTTTAGGAACTGGTATAATCTACTGTGTATGCAAGGTAAGCACTACATAATGTTAAGACTCTCCAGACAGAATAGTTTACTGTAATTACAAGAATTCTCAATATTCAGAGAAAAATTTAAAAACAAGAAAAATACTATTATATATAGCTTTCTACCTCTTATCATTCATTCTAACAATTTTCAAAACTGTATTATATATAAATTTACTGACCTGGTCAATACTGAAAAATCCAGCTGTCTGTAATACTTGACACAAAGATTCTACTAGTTTCATTTTATCAACAGGGTCCATTCCTTTATTTACAATTTCAAATAAACAGTCACATGCTTCTTCCCGTAGAACTTCTATTGACATATGACCTAGCAGCATATTTATAAACCTAGTAATGGGGGAATAAGATTGTTTCAGCATTTTCAAACTTGTAAGTATTACATACTATACTTTTCACACCTATATTAAAAAGATTATAGGCATACTTACCTATCATTGGCTATAAGGGATAAGTCTATCCAAGAGACATAAGCCCCAACTACTTCAAGGCACTGACATGTCACTTCTGAATTAGTATACTGATAATTTTGTAAGATTTGGTACCATGATTCCACCAAATTTGGAATGCACTGTTCCCTCATGGTATCTTTTATTAGTGTATTCCTACGAGCCTCCTAAAAATCAGAACAAAGTAGATTATAAAATGTTTGACACCAGAATATAGTTGCACACAATAATTTCCTCCATTAAAATTCCAGACTTGTTAACATATTCCCTGCTTTGGTTTCCTATTTATCAGGTCTAAAGACACATCCTGTGATTCTTTTTACTTCCTCTTTCCGTTCTACTCCGTGCCAGACTTATTTTTCTTATTAAATACAAACTATAAATAAGCATTGCTTAAAAATCTTGAGCATGTGGTAATTTATTTCTTAATATTAGGTAAATATTATACCTAAACCATTTAGAAATGGTAGTAGCTTAAATGTATGATAACATCTTTTAAAGTTATAAATATTTTAGTTACAATGACCTTAAATTATCGTACATATTTGAAGCTACAATGGACTCTCAAGTTACAACTGGCCAGGGATACAAACAACTCGGGTTAATTAGGTTAATGGAAGATTCATCTGCCTCTTGTTATCTATAGCATGTTACCCAGGTAAACATCCAGATCTCCGCCATATTGACTTATAACCAACTTGAGTTACAACCAGGCCTTGGGAACTCATTGAGTTCATAAGCCTAGGGTCCACTGTTTTTCTTTTTTGGTACCGGGGATGGAACTCGGGGCCTTGCGCTTGCGAGGCAGGCAGTGGAACCACTGAGCTAAATCTCCAGCCCAGGTCCACTATATTTCTATTGTGCCCTTTAAAATGAGGCAAAAGTGCTGGTATGCGTGGCACACACTGTAATTCCAGCACATAGGAGACTGAGGCAGAAGGAGTGCAAGTTTGGGGCCAGTCTGGACCACATAGTGGGATCCTATCTTAAAACACACATACACCCCCAATTAACCAATCAAACCAAAAAAAGGCAAAAGTTATATAGGCTAATAAAGAAACTGAGAAACGGGTGTTGTACGGTGTGACTGAGAATATAGTAATCAGCAATGCCAGTTCATAAGCAGTTTCTTTTTTTTTGGTACCAGGGATTGAACTTGGGTCCTTGAGCTTGCACAGCAGGCGAAACCACTTGTCGAATCCCCGGCCCCCATAAGCAGTTTTTTCCTTGCTGAGGGACTTGACAGCAATACTGAATAAATACTATATAGCTTAATAAATTCATGGGAGAAAATCAACTCCTGTATTTCCCTACTGGTGAGAAGTTTTTTCTATATTAAAAAATCTAATGTGTCACTCAAATTTCAAGCTAATCCGGAAAAAAAAAAACAAACACAAATTTAAGTTCCTTTTTCAATAAAATTCAAAATGCTGGGTAAATTTACATTTATCCTTAAGATTATTTGTCTAAAATGAAATAGATTTCCAGCTCATGTGCTCATTTTCTCCCATAAAATCTAGATTGAAAACTAAATGTTAATGGGAAGTTACTTGCCTCTGATGTATGAACTACATCACGATCCACCAACTCTGAATCAATAGCCATGAGGATTCGGAGGTATAGATCTATTCCCCTTGGATTTAGGTCCACTACTGAGAGAATGTCGAAAAAAAACTTGGGCCATTTAGTGAGATATTCTGTAACAAAAAGCAAGGCGAAGACTTGGGCTGCTTTATTTCGTATAAAGGTCTTCTCTGGTTGGAGACTCAGCATCTGACGAACAGAAAAAGCCCATTCAATCACATTCAAAGTGAAAGACTAAAATTCAGTTTTTCTACATATTGTTAGTAGGCAGAACCCCATCGACTTCAACATGGTCCAGACTAGTAGTGTAACAAAACTGTAACAACTATCCAAGTATTTAAGTGACTGGGCAGCTGGAGAACAAATTACAGTTCTAACAGATACTTATTTTTACACCTTTAAGAAAAGTTTCAGACACAAAGTTTTAGTAATTTGTATAATTTTCGCTAAGGAAAAAAAAACCCCAGAATTTTTCTATTTGCTTGCACTTTAAGGGAAATAAAAATCCCTAGCTACACAACTGATTTATGTTAAGCTGTGGTAAACTTAAACGAACAGTGCATGTTATGAATAAAGAACTCTACTGGCCTTTTGCAAAAGGCCCCTTTGAAGCTGTCCAAGAGGGATCACCTTTATGAGCCAAATAGAAAACCAGCTTTTGTCAAGGAGTAAAAAATACTTTTTTTAAACCCAGGTTTCAGTTGGGTGTGGAGGCACATGCCTGTAATCCCAGCACTTGGGAGGCTGCGGCAGGAGGGCTGCCACAAGTTTGAGGCCAATCTGGGCTACATAGTGAGTTCAAGGCCAGCCTGAACTATATAGCAAGACCCTGTCTCAAAAAACAAAAAAACCCCAGGTTTCCATAATGTATAAGTTTCGGTTGTTGACATAATTTAAAATTATTGCTAAGTTTCCTTCTACCCATGATCTTCAAAAGCAGGTACTTTTAATATAAAGTATTAAATATGTGATCATTTGAGGCACTGAATGAAATTAACTATTTTACCTGAGCTTGAAGCCAAGATATGAGTGTCTCCCTAATTAGTTGTTGTTGAACAGTGGTTAGTTCTGAGTATCTGTTCAAAATAAAGCAGAAAAAAATAGTGGCTGTATTTGGTATCTACGGTTTTGAAAAGGAACAGTCTCATATATTTGAAAGGAAAGTTTGTACAGCACTCAATTATCTTCAGTTTCCTAAAATAAATTGCTAATGCCTCTCAACACTGCTGTAACAAAAAGACAGGGATGACAGCGGCTACAGGACATCATTACCAATCTTTGATTTGTGGCTCAGTTAATGTTGAAACAAAATGACAGCCACACGATTTTAAAAATAGAGATATATCCATGTTCTGAGGTCTGTGATCTACAGAATAAGTCAGTAAACAAGTTTTTGTTTTTCCTTAATATTAAAGCAAAGGTTCCGAGTATAAGTGCTGTCAGAGAGCTGCCACGTAGAAAACAGGCCGACTGCTGCTACATCTTCTGGCTTTTCCAGAAGTTGGAAATCTAGACTTTTAATGTCTGTAATTTTATATGTAACCAACTAACTCAGTTTGGGATAAATAAAAGCACATCTGTACCCTGGATGTAACTCACACCGCCAATTTACAACTTCTCTTATGATTTCCTCAAGAAAGAAAAAAACAAATAAAAAGTAGTTTCTCCCCACAAATCTCTGAGTCAAAATTTTAAGGAAAGTCTTACTTGTATTTAACTTGATGTTCTAATACTTGAAAGCAGAAAAACTTTATGTGATCATCACTGAAAAAAAAAAAAAGAAAATTAGATAATCACAGTATAAACTGGAGAATAACAAAGACAAAATATTAATGAATATGAGAAGTTTCTCAAACTAGACCTCTGGCTTGTGGCTTGTTTTCTACTTACCGGTCTCATTTTGTAATTTTCAAATCTATTTGTTTATATAAGAACAGATCTCTACATACTATATATTCTATACAGTATTTTCATTGAATTTGGCAAGCAGAATAACTGAAAAATTTAAGATGCACCTTAAACATAGTATTTTTTAAACTGAGGGCATCCCCCCTGAATTCTAAATGTCAAAATTTCTGGAACATTTTCCACTTTTTACAAAAGAAAGGTTGGGTGTAAAATAACAAATGGAATAATAGCAAGAAAGTGAGTGAAAACAAAGATGAGCATCCAAGTCCTACTAAAAATTCAAACTTAGCTGTACCGCAGCCAAATCCAAAACAAGGGGCTCATGGACTCTTGATTCCGTTTTTAAGTTCATACTGAAAACTAAACTGCATATTGCCTTTGTAAGATAGGAGTAAGAATTAATACCCACTAATTAGCCACTTCCAATTTTTTCTCTAGTGGTGAATTAGAGTTGTAGTAAGCCAGGTATAAACTCTGACAAAGTCCCTTGAAAGTGTAACAATTTGCTCATTTAAGGTAATTAGTTTAGGTCAGGCTTTTCCTAAAAATTAAAGTAACAGGTCCAAGTAAGAACAGATTTCATCTTAATTAGGCTACATGAATTGACCTAATAAAATAATTTTATACAAAGTAGGTAAAATATTTAAAAATTTTTTTAAACTTAGGGTGAATTAGTATCTAAGACTTTAGGTTTCTGTTTTCATTATGAATTATCCTACAGCTTTAAGAAAATTATACAATACTTAGAATTTCAGCCAAACATGAAGGTACATACCTATAAACCCAGCTACCAGGGAGGCTGAGGCAAGAGGATCACAACTTTAAGATCAACTTGAGCAATTTGGCGAGATCCTGTCTCAAAATCAAAAATTAAAAAGGGGGCTACATACAAGCGCAAGGACCCGAGTTCGATCCCTGGTACCAAAAAACGGGGGGGGGGGCGGCTAGAGATATAGCTAAGTGGCAGGACACTTGCCCAGCATATGAGAGGCCCTGGATTCAATCCACAGTACCACAAAAAAAAAAATGAATAAATAAAATCTTTGTTAGATATTCCACTCAAAATAGAAACTACAGGAAGCCTTTTAATTAAATACCATCTGTAAGACTCAGTCTCGAAGCTAACTTTCACTACGGCCAAGCAATGAATTCCAGCTATCAAACAGAATGACAGTTACAGGTCTCCAACAACTGCAGCCAGGAAGCTATGTACTTCTGCTCCCACCAGTGAGCTGTGTTTATTGCTAGCTAGTCAACAGACTCCCACAGCTTAATCATGCCAGTTTTATAAAAGATATATATATTATATAAACTGATGAAATGAGTTTCTATTTCTGCAGAATTAAACTGATTGCTTTAGAATGACTTCATAGAAAGTCACATTGCAGGGGGAAAAACTTTGTACAGATTTAATGAGGGTTAAATAATCAGACTTGAGAGCTGGGAGCAAATAAGTATGAATCTGCATTCACTGTTCCTCACCCCACCAGACATTCATACTGGAAACTGTAGAGGATGGATTATGGATGTGATCAGCAAGAACGAACAAAGTGAATGCTAATGACAAAACTGACAAGACTTTGGTTGGTCCAACTTCAAAAAAACAGTAACTGAATGTTTCCATACTTACATACATAACAGCAAAGGATAGTTTTACTGAAAAGTCAACTATGGAATGGTCCAATTATTGATTTACTATTTTTATCACTTCTATAATAAATGACTGCATATTAAGGTAAAGAGCAAGTCTCAAAATGCTCTTCTGGGGACACTTTTCCAAATACAAGTAAATTTTTTTTTTTTTTTTTTGAGACAGGGTTTCTTACTATGTAGTTTAGGCTGGCCTTGGAACTCACTATGTAGCCCAGGAGGGCCTTAAATTCAGTGACTCTTCTTCCTTAGTGTTCTGAGTGCTGGGTAAATATGGGTAAATTTGACAGTCCTGCTATGTTCACAGAAACTTATATTCTTTTAGATGCCATGTAAATTTTGTTTGAATTACCTGTATGTCCTCTGGGCTAGAGCTTCTGCACACACCTGCCAAGCATCTGGGGAAATCTTCAACTGCTCAAAATAGGCCAAGGCCTGTAAGATTGTAAAACAAGGAAAAGCAGTTGGAATAATCAATCTTAAAGCCCTATTAATACTAAACAAAGATCTGGTTGTAGCAAACTAATTTAATGAATTTAACAGAAAGATGTCTAAAGCACTCAATTCCAGCTTCTGAATATGTGCAACATGTACATTATTCTTAGCAAAAAGATTAAACAAAAAATAAATTCCATCAATTAGATACTCAAGGGCCAGGGATTTAGCTCAGTGGTTCCACCGCCTGCCTTGCAAGCACAAGGTCCCGAGTTTGATCCCTGGTACCAAAAAAAAAAAAAAAAAGTTAAGGAAATTTTGTTATATACATTAGCTATATCATCATAATCATCATTATTGTTTCTTTCTTTTTTTGGTACCGGGGATCGAACTCAGGTCCTTGCGCTTGCGAGACAGGTGCCGGAACCACTGAGCTAAATCCCTGGCCCATCATTGTTATTTTGGTTTGTTGAGACAGGGTCTAATCATATAGCCCAGGCTTGGCTTGAACTATGTAGCTCAGGCTTACCTTGAACTCAAGGCAATCTAACTGCCTCAGCCGCTTGAGTGCTGGGATTACGGGCGTGCGTCACCATGCCCAGCACATAAGTTATGTTACACATTTCATATGCAGCCCAGAATAACTCCTCTTCACTCAGTGCAGCCCAGGCAAGCCAGGAATGTGCAACCTATGGGCCCCAGGTTGTACATGCTTGCAAGGAACCTAATTTGAATTGAATTAATCAATTTTTTAAAAAAATCACTGTATGTTCCATTATTAATGGTTTCAATTTAGTAGTTTTGATCAGCTATTTAAAAAAACAGAATAGAGAATATATCAAAGTACATCATATCTAGCAAGAATAACTTATGTAACTTGTTTTAGTTATGTATGTGTATATTCTTTTTTTTTTGGTACTGGGGATCGAATTCAGGTCCTTGCGCTTTTGCAGAAGGCGGCGAAACCACTGAGCTAAACTCCCGGCCCTAAGTTATGTATGTGCATACTTTAAATATATACGTATTTATATACAAACTGAGTCAGGATATAGAATTATTTTTTTCTTTTGGTTTAGAAGTAAAAGGCACTGGGTTTACACTTAGGTGATGGTTTCCTGTGGTTTTATGAATAAGGAAATGGGCTTCCATACATGGTCTCAGTAGCTGTTCCCATTGACAGGGAATAGATGAAATTGATTAGGTAAGGATCAACAAAGACTCATCTCACCAGGCATGGTTGTTGTGCATGCCAGTAACCTCACTGGAACGAAGGAGGACGTTATAGAGGATGAGGCAGGATCCCAAGATTGAGGCTATCCTGGCTATTTAGCAAGACATTGACCCAAAATAAATTTTAAAAAGGGCTGGGGATGTAGCTCAGTGGTAAAGTGCTTGTCTAATATGTAGGAGGCCCTGGGTTCAATCCCCAATACCCAAAACAAAACGACCTATCTTAAGTATAATAAGAAATACACAATATTTGGGCTTTGCTCCCTCTTCTTGTTCCCAGCAAAGAGCTCTCAAAACCCCTGGAATTTCCTGATAGAACTTTGTTATTTATAATGAGCCCCTTCACAACAGAGTTTATGCCTGGAGGTAACTTAGGGTGGGACCCAGAGATAAGCTCAGACAAGGGCTGGTCACTAGAAAAACCAAGTGGTAGAGGGTTGGCTTCCAGCTCAACCTCTTTAAACACTTGAATTTCTAGGCTGGTGAGCACAGTTGAGGTGCCTGGTCGGAGGAGTGCCTATAGAGGGCAGGAGGGCTCTGTGCCCCTTCCTCCATAGCCCGCCCAATATAACTCTTCCTTTGGACTCTGCCTGAGTTGTATCATTTATAATTAACTGGCAGCAGTAAGTAGACTGTTTTCCTGAGTACTGTAAGCCATTTTAGCAAATTATCAAACCCAAGGAAGTCAAGGGAGCGCTCAACTTACACATCAGTCATCAGAAAATGGGAGGTCCTGGATTTGCAATTAGCATCTGAAGTGGTGGAAGTCTTGAGACTTAAGCCTGTAACTTGTGGAATCCAACCCTAATTCTTGGTAGTGTCAGAATTAAACCAAATTACAAGGCACTCCCAGCTGGTGTCCACAGAATCAGAATTGAGCCTCCTTGGTATCGGAAAACCCAGAATAAATAATGGGTATTTTTAGAAATTAACAATTTAAGAGTTCAGAAAGCTGCAAAAACCTAGCTCAGTTGTTTCTAACAACAGTCCATGAAATCTATGCTTTCCTTTAGGAACACTTCAGGGGCCAGGCAGAGGACAGGTGGAAGTCAATTATATATGCTGTATTATCACCTAATGTTCTACTTATAAAAAGGCAGGAGTTTAGTTGCTAAAATTGTCATTCATATGTTACCTTCTTTAAATAATGCAAGTTTTAAGCCAAAAGTGGGCATTCTACTTTTAATGGGTGGGGTTATAACACAAAAGCTTGTAGTTTTTAGCCAGTCTTTGTACTCTGAATCCACTGGCATTTTAAAAAAAATCTGTAGCAAACTTTTATAACCTGTTCTTCTATTCCATACCTTTCTTTCTTCATCTGAGTAACAACAGTTTATCTACTTATTACTCATGAACACCAAAATTATCAGAATCCACTTTTCCTGAAGATTCCTTCTTTGTTCTAATTAACTGCTACTCAGGATGGTCTAATGGAATATCAAATTAAGCCTAGATCGCTGCCTGCCTTGCAAGTGCAAGGACGAAAGTTCAATTCCCGGTACCAAAAAACAAACAAACAAATTAAGCCTAGATGTGAATACTCAATATATGCCTATAAGAGAACCCATTTTTATTGATGAAAAGCACAATTTAGGCATTAAAATAACTAGTATTGGCTTTATTGTTCTGAAAAAGAAAATCATGCCACGTTTTAAAAAAAGTGTTGGCTGTTGAAACTTAAAAGATTCATAAAAGGGGCTGGGGATTTAGCTCAGTGGTTCCGGCGCCTGCCTCACAAGCGCAAGGTCCCGAGTTTGATCCCCGGTACCAAAAAAAAAAAAAAGATTCATAAAAAACAGGGAAGGCCATCTAAAAAAAGATAAGAAAAAACCTAAAGGCTTTTAATTATAAGCATGTAATGCCAGACTAGATTAAAGATAAGATCTATGCTTCAACTACCTTGAAAGTAGGTACCTTAAGCCTCTATGAAAAGAAATCTTGGGGCCGGGGATTTAGCTCAGTGATTCCACCACCTGTCTTGAAAGCACAAGATTCCAAGTTCAATCCCCAGTACCAAAAAAAGAAAAGAAATCTTTATACACAGAACCATGGACTTTTAATATCTGTTCATGTCCTGACTAGATAGGAATTTTGTAATTGTTCCCACACTTAAATCTCAATATTTGCTATTCTATCTGGAGGGCTAGTTACTTATTGAACAGCAGAAGCATGTACTATGTTAGAAACTACTTCAGATTTTTTTCTTTTTTTTTAAACCTTTTTTTTGGGGGGCGGGTACTGGGGATCGAACTTGGGTCCTTGCACTTGTGCAGCAGGCGACGAAACCACTGAGCTAATCCCCGGCCCTGTTTTAAACCTATTTTTAAAACTTTCTGCCTAAAAGGAGAGTAAAACTGGCTATAAAATTTATTGGGATCATTAACCTCATTCACCTTATTTATAAAAAGCATTGTTTGCCATGAGAAATGAAAGAAGAAAGAAGAGAAAATGCCTCTCCTTCCTCCTATCCTATACTTCAGAACACCCACATGTCTTTAAAACTTAATTATAGGCTTGTTCTTTAGAGTCTTGTTTCATTCAGCTACAGTCACGATTATAGTTGTTGGCTACATTATGTTTAATTGTTTACATGTATCCAAATATCCTAGCACCTCCTAATGGATTCCTTGTCATGTACTAATTTTATGAAACTTAGGACATGACATATCCTAACTGCTTATCTACATGTCTACCTGGACTAAACAAGGATGTTAAATATCACTAACACAAGGGTTAAACCACTTATATAGACCAGGCCAAACAACATAAAATACGTACGTCTGCTACTACAGAAAGTCCCTTGAACAATCCTCTACATATTACAGCTTTTAAACAATTAGAAATAAGACAGATGTTACATAAAGACCTGCCTTGAATCCCATGAGATTTTAATACTTTAGTTCAGCCAATTAAACCAAAAATAAATCACATTGTTTCTGTATTCAGAATACACTTACCTCAAATTTGTTTGCCACTATTCATTTCCACTCAAATTAGACCTTTATCATCAGAAGTTTTGTATTTTTGGGGGTCCTCTAATGTGTATTTGTGGTAGCTTGCTTTAAGAAATGCTTAAACAGACTAGCTTACCCTTTGTCTAAAGTCAGAATCAGCATTTGGGTTTAGCCCTAAAAGAGCCTGTTCATCCATCCCCGCTGTTACACTTGGAGTTTTCCGATTGTAATAGGCCTGCCCTCTGATCCCACAGAATCCACAAACATCTGCACACAAAAATCAAAGGTGGAAAAAAAAAACAATACTTAATGAACAAAACAGATGCTTATCCAGAATATCATAATTAGTGAATAAAGATATAAAATGATGCTTAAGTTTTTGAGTCTTTTTAAATTCACCCCAATTACTACTATAGGAGCCTGTCTCAGAAGAATGGAGCCTGCTAAATATACTGTACTAATGTGTAATTTTTAAAAACCTAAAAAGGATACCATTAAGGCTGTCAGGTTATTGTATTCCTCAAAAATCTTCAACAAAGTAATTATTTTCTTTAAACAGCAGTAGGATCTAATGTTCTCAGTGTTGTTATTTATCATCTCCAATACTAACAAATGCAATTGCACAACTGAACTAGGTTAAAAAATGACAAATCTAGATTTTTTTGTTAAAATTACATTAATTTCCCTGCTTCCAGATACCAGTATAACAAACCTTTAAAAAACTTAGAATGACTAACATCAGTTTAATATCCTATTGTAGATTTTGATTTTTTTTTTGTCCCGGGGATTAAATTTGGCTCCTTGCACTTGCACAGCAGGCGGCAAAACCGCTGAGCTAAATCCCCAGGCCCTAATATCCTTATTGGAGTGTTTGTAAAGTACTGTAAGAGAAAATAAATGAAAAGCCAGTCATGTAGCTTTTGAACAACAGACTTAATTCTGTTTTTTATTAATCTCTACTTTTACCAGTCGTTTCTAGAAATATATTTCCAAGAAAAGTTATAATAGACAGGTGATTTACAGTGACTACTCTTATTTAAAAACTCTGAAAGACTTACAGCGAGTAATCCACATATTCATAATAAAAACCTCTGGAGAGTAACCCACTTATTCACAATGAAAGTAAGATGGTAACATTCTCAAATCAGAGCATGATAAGGCAGCTTAGTTTTTTGATAGTAATTTACTTCAGCAAACAGAACAAATCCTAAATGATGTGAAAAATCACATTCTCTCAAGACCTGTGAGAGGGAGACTAAAGCTTAATACTTCCACAATAAAGCTGTGGGGATTTTTGTTTTTAAAATTAGAACCTAAGGAGGTCAACAGACTAACTGGCTGAAAGGGGTCAGCCTTTCAGGAATGGTGAAGCTAAGGATCAGGTCTATGGACAGGACTCACACTTTTGTCTTCCCTGGACCTGCAGAAATCAAATGAAAGTCAGGATATGGGCTGCAAGCCTTGGAAAAGTAAGCTCAGCCCTTGCCCTTATGGTTCATAGAATACCTTCACACTACCACAAGGCAATGTTAACTCCCCAGTACTCTTAAGATTAAGAGCCAAACACTTCTGAATGAATTACTCCTTACCATTCTGTATCCTAACTCAGCAAGGCTAGCAATACTGTACCACATGGCAGTTCTCCAGTGGTACTGTCTGTCATGTCTGCACACACTGCTCTTTTCAGTTACGTGGTTAACACCCCCATGTTCTTCAGTATTCAACTTGGAGATCATGTCTTTGAAGAATACTTCCTTGATGCCTATTGTCCAAGGCTCCCCATACTGGATTACACTGGTTTAGATACTCCTCTTAAGCACTGCTGTGTTGTCCTTATCAATTTACTAGTTTTCTTTCTTCAACCTTAAAGGGCAAGGTCTGTCTAGAATATTCATCACTATGTCTCTAAGATGGAGAACACAGGTTTTTAATCTATAAAAATTTGGGTTTATATTCCAATCTTGTCACTTCTTAAAAAATGGGGGTCACATAAACAATTTAATAAGAGCCTTTTCTATGAAAGGGGAAAAAGACTATTTACCTTAAAGTTGTAGCATGCCTGGGCAACACAGTAGACCCTCAAAAGGCTATTAATTCAGAGGTAGGCACTCAGTGGATAGGAACTACTTGGAGCATTGTTAAACTAAGAAATCAGCATTCTGAAAAGATGAGAAAACAAATTTTTTTTCCTCTTTCTGGGGCCAGAAGGATAAAAATCGATTACCATTTCCTTAAAAAAATGCCCACAGGGCTGGGGATTTAGCTCAGTGGTTTCACTGCCTGCTGTGAAAGCTCAAGGAGCCAAGTTCAATCCCTCGTACACCGCCCCCCCCCAAAAAAGTCAAAAAATGCCCACAAAGGGAAAATACCAATTTCAGTTTTTATGAATTCCAGATTGAGAGATCTTATAAAAACTTCAATTTGCCACGACTTTATGGAAAACGACTGAAGCTTAATCAGGTTACTGTGATTCAATCAAGAGAAAAAACAAGTGGTCCTACGGAAAAACATGGCCAAAGTTGTCAGTAAAGATGGAATTCCTTAAAGAAGGTATTTGGATAATCAATATACAGAGGACTATTAGGGTAAATTACCTAAGTGTGCCGGAAGGTCTGAAAAGTTACACCCTGAGTTAAAAGGTAGCGACCTATATAGTAAAAGGCTGAGTATGAACAAAGTATTCTAACTCGACACAGCCTGTGCAGGATTAAACATTTGTTACAATACGGTGAACTCCTCAGTTACACATACTGCAAAGGAGGAAAGGGGAGTAACATAATAGCAAGCCTTAACTTTACCATCCAGCCATTAGGTCAAGAATCAGTATGGAAAATTCTTCTACACCTACTGAAGACTGCTCCAAAGACTAGGGCTCAGTCTTTCCAGCATTTTAACATCAACGCTGACAAGTCGCCTTAATAAAACGTAACTTCCCCACTGTAAAAAGTAATTAGCGCTTTCATACAGTACTCGTTTTTCTGGTTACAGAGACACATCATGGTTCTCTAGTCCTGCAGATAGTGAGGAAGGGAAGAAATGGAGTGTCCGTGCTGGCAAATTTGTGCACAGAAATAACACTTTTTCTCTTTTTTGTCCCGGGGTGGGGGGCGCATCAAGTTTGAGGTCCCTATAGTTGAAATTAGTAAAACGCACGCTACAACTATCACAAATGGGTGTGGGGCGGGCACAGGCGTGTCTACCTTCCTCTGCGGCCTCGCCCTCATCCATCCCCCGGATGCCTCCCCAAAGAAGCCTCGTGGCAACTCGGGTGATGATGAAATATCCAGCAACTGGCGGCCACGCACTCGGGAGGCGCTCCGCGAGCCACCCCCACCCAGCCCGCCAGCCCGGGACGCACCGCCCAGGAGGATCCCCGATCCGCACCCGTCCCCGGTGTCTGGGCTCCCCCTTGCCGGTCCGCCCTGGCCAACTTCCTTGAAGCCTCGCGCGGACGGAGCAGAGTCCAGGTCCCGCCGCCCCCGAGCCTGGAGTCACCTTCCCTATCACTCCATCTCGCCTCTCCAACTGCACACCCAGGGGCTGGTCAGCCGAGTGGAGCGGCGCCACGCAGGAAGCAGGGAGATCGGCCCTCGTCCTTGTCGCCGTAGTCGTCCGCCACGGCCGCAGCGCTAACGCCGGAGACGGAGCAGGCTGGGGCCGCGCGCCTCTCGCAGCTCTGCGTTCTCTGCGCCTTCTGCGTGGCTCCCAGCAGCCAGGCTAACAAACAGGCGGGCTGGGTCGGCGGCCCAGTAAGGCAAAGAGCGCGAGGGCCGGCTCACGCCGCCACCACCGTCTCCGCTGAGTCAGCGCGAAGCGCGCTCCCCGCGTCGGTGCCGCGCGGGCCAGCGCCTGCAGCCTCACGGAGAGTAGGACGGCAGCCAGCGGGCGGGGCCGGGGGCCTACAACTCCCAGCATGCAACGTGCAGCGGCTTCCGGGCGGAGGGGCGCACACGTGTTCCCTGGAGTTCGCGGGGGGCGTGGTCACCGGGGGGCGTGGTCACCGGGGCCTGCGGTGCATGCCGGGATGGGGCATCGGGCTCCTGAGTGACTCCTGGGTCGAGTCTGCGCCAAGTTTGGGTCTCTGGGTTGGGTTCTCTCCTGGGCTTTCCGGAAGGCTGTAAGCTGATAGGTTAGAGTACTGAGTTCTTGCCATGGGAATGATGTAGTTCAAATCACGTGACTGTTTAATTCCTTTTCAAGGGTTCCATGTGGCCCTGATAATGGAGCTTGAAGATCTGATGAGTGAGGACATTTAAAAAAATTCACTTTAGGGCCTGGGATTTAGCTCAGTGGTTTTGTCCCCTGCTGCGCAAGCGCAAGGACCCGAGTTCGATCCCCGGTACAAAAAAAAAAAAAAAATTCACTTTAGACATACTAACATTTTCTCTGTGGAAAGAACATCCGTAGGAAGTCCTGCTCATAGGTTTTTTCGTTGGCACTTAGTGGCGCTTCGTTTATTTGGTCACTGAGTTATTTGTTGATGTTGCATGAGGCCGTATAGACTCCAGCTGCCTAGGTTTGCATCTCAGGCCTGCACCGCAGTACGCAGTTGTCGACCTCAGGGATGCTGTTTGGTCCATCAGTACTTCTGTTTACTTATCTGTAAAACGGGATAGAAACAGTACTGACCTCAAGGGTTATTGTGAGAATTGTTAATGTTACGTGTCTGTCGCACCGTAATATTGAGCTTTCATTGTTGATTATTCAGTATGTACGGAATACAGACGACGCAGTCACTGAGGCTACAGTGAAGAACAGACCAAACTTGGGAGCGGGTTAAGGAGGGGAATGGGAAGAGAGGTAGAGTGTCTAATTAGCGTAACACTTTAACAGCTACATTTATTTAGACCACCATGTTCAAAATACACAGCATTTCATATATAAAATATCCACTCACTTTTGTATCAGATTTCTTTGATACTGAAATAGGTTTATTGATATTGAAAGATTCACTGTTGCATCCAAGAAGCAGTTTCTAGGGGCTGGGGATTGAGCTCAGTGGTTCTGGCACCTGCCTCGCAAGCACAAGGTCCCGAGTTCGATCCCGGTACAAAAAAAAAAAAAGCAGTTTTTTAAAAATGTGATTTAATATACATACACATTTCACAAGTACAGGATTATGAGTGATTTTTATATTTCATTTCCTTCGATACATTTTATATTTTCTTCTACAATGAACTTCTAAAACATAATAAAAACGAGCATTCATGACACTGCTGCTTAAAACCCTTCAAATGCTCGCCCGGCATTTGGGTTTTCGCCCAAATTCTTTAGCTCTTCAAGACCCTTCATATGGTCCTGGTCTCTCTGTATCCTACCACCCATATCTCACACAAAAAGGCCCCTGAGGACCCATGATTTTTTATAACTGAGCTCCCTCTCCCGATACGTCCCCATCAACCGCTCCCAGTGCCGGCAGCAATGTCTTCAGCCTGGCCCAGGAAGCTATGAGGCCCCAGTTCTTCCTAAAGCAGCCACAGCAGGCCGCGGGCGGGAGGACCAGGATCCGCTGGAAGGGGTGGCTCACTGAGACTCTGGAGACATGGATCCACCGCGTGACCACTCCAGGAGCCTGACCACCGAGACAGACAGGGAATCCCGGACCACGAGCAGGGGCTGGGCCAAGCGGTACGAGAGTCTCAAGGCCTGGATCTCTGGGCCTATCTCCAGGGATGGGGTGCACCCTGGCCCCACGTTTGGGCTGCTCATGAATTGGACTTCCATTGCAACCCGGGCCCAACCCGCCACTCCCACACAGAAGGAGAACACTTCGCACATGGAGGCCGCCATTTGGGGCACGCCTCCGCCTTCTCCGTATCAGATTTTTAATTGTTTAAAACGTCGGGCTAAGATTGGTGTCCAATTTCATTATATCCCCAGAGTTTTTGCACAGTGCCAGCCTGTAGTTAGAACTCAGTAAACGAATCACTAATCTTGGTCTGAATGGCCCTGCAGTCTTTCACGTTCAGCAGACCACTGCCTCATCTTAAAGGATTCAATCTATTGTACTGTAACTGCCTTTACTTGCCTTTTTCATTTATAAATTCATTTTGTATTTCATATGTTAAACGTCATACAAAGCTTATCTTCAGCTTATCTACAGTTTATACAGTAACACTGGCCCTTCATGGTAGTTCATATGCCTAGAATTGTAAAAACCTCTTTTAATTTTGTAAACTCAACTGATTTCAAAACAAATGACATACTAGGTGTAATCCAACTGAATAGGATGGGGGTATTAAATTTGACCATTTTGGGACCGGTGATACAGCTCAGTGGTAGAGTGCTTGCTTAGCAAGTGTGAAGTCTTGGGTTTCCATCCCCAGCGCTGGGGAAAACAGTTTTTGACCATTCCATATTTTGGCTGCCCTCGGAGTAACAAGATGCCCGTTATCAAAATGCTCAAAAGTAAACTATTGTCTTTTTTTTTTTTCTTAAACATGGTCTGTGTCCTTTGACTTTTCTTTTTCCCCACAATGAGGGGTCAAACCCAGGACCTCATCAAGCTAGGCAAGCATTCTACCACTGAGCTACATCTCTAATACATGACCATTTGAAAATAAGGCATGTCCTTGTATATGGCAATGCTTTTATGTATTATCAACATTTTTGAGTATTATTCGCTAGACAGTTCTGAGTGTTTATACATATCCTCACAACAACTGTATGAAAGTAGGCACTGTGGTTATCACTGTGTTATAGATGAGGATCTGAAATGCATAAAGGCCAATTAGCATGGCTATGATTCACACCTAGTCTGACTCTTAACAGTCTGTGCTCCTAGCCCATTTCTCAAATGAGGGTCCATTAAGACTGATGACATTGTACAAATACAGTGCAAAGTTCTTTCTGTAGATATGCTCAGAGGCCCCTTTCTTATAGCAGTAAAACTTTAATTTTCCTGTTCCTTATCTCCCTTTTTTCAATTGCCAGAGTACTTGAAATAATTTTGATTAGGTAACATTTGTAAGTTTATTTCCTTATGATTTACAACATGGTTTCACATACCTTTTCCATTTATTCTTTAATATTAAAGGGACAAAGCAGTATTATCATTCTAAATTTACAGATAAGGAAAAAAAATGGATCTGTTTTAAGTACTGCATCCTAAGTTACACAGTTGGTAAATGGGGACCTGGAACCCTGAACTCTAGTGATTTCTTGTCTCTAGTATGACATATTTATTGCCTCTATTCACTCTTTTCTTTTTGTGAAGATGGAGCTTGCAGCTCTCTTGTAAAAGAAGAGCCAGAAAGCTATTTAGCTTTCTGTCCACAATGTAAGACTACAAGAAGACAGTCACACAGCACATCAGAAGCAGGCTTTCATCAGATACTGGACCTGTCAGTACCTTAATCTTGGGCCTACAGACTCCAGAACTCTGAGAAATAAAAGTTTGTTGTGTAAGTCTCCTCATCTATGGCAATTTGTTATAGCAGCTCAAACAGACTAAGACAATGTTTAAAACCCAAGTCATGATCTCCACAACATATGTCTTCCTCCTGTTGTGGTTATTTCTCTCAATGAACGTCTCAATGTATCTCAGTGCCCTTAGGGTCACTTTTGTCTTCTTCATGTTCAAGGATCCAGTTCTATTTCAGCATAGAATGGTATGTTATATCTATCTGTTCTGTCTTGTAACTTACTTTTTCTACTTTTGTTTAGGCCGTCAAAGCTTCTCTTGGACTTCAAGGAAAGAAATGTATCCATTACTTGAAATGGTTATCTCCAGGTGCTGCAGTTGCAAGGTATTTTTTTCTTTCCTTGTACATTTTTGAATGTTTAGAAATTCTCCACAGTGATCATATACTACTTTCATAATAAATAAAATTTTAAACTGAGTATAATAAAATAAAAAGAAATAATTGCATTTAATCTTTGAGAATTGATTGAATGCTACCTCCTTCGTGAAACCTTTTCAGATTGCCTTAATCAGGATTGTGCTTGATCATTTCTTTAACATCATTTGTTTTCTTTACTTTTTATGTCATTAATATATTTTAATGTTTTGCTTTAAATTTGTACTACATTTGTCTAACTCAGTCAATTATTAAAGACAGTGTTATTTTGATTGTGGATAATTTCTCAGTAAATATTTGAGAAATGTACTGAATTGAATCAAAATTATCAACTGATAACCACCGAATTCTTTGTCAGATTCTCTTCTTGATGTGTTTCTTCTCTTTTTTTTTGTTACCGGGGATTGGACTTGGGTCCTTCTGCTTTGGAGGCAGGCGGTGGAACCACTGAGCTGAATCCCCGGCCCAGTTCATCTCAGTGTTTGTTAAGCCTAATGTCATTTTCACCCAAAGCTCCTTCATGGTGGGCTTTTTGGTTAACAAAAAAGGAAAATAGGTCAGGTATGCTGTTCTTACTGGTCATTGTCCATTCATTTCTTTCTCTTAGAGGAAGTGTGTCTGTATAGTGGCAGGAAGGCTGAGAAAGGCAAAATAGGTAACTGGAGCATTATGTAGTAAAAGAAAACATTTTAAAAAGTCTGCCTCTTCTCTTAGATTTTATTATAATGACATCTCTCCTCTGTATGTGATTGCTAATTGTTAGAGATATTTAAATGGATAGTACTCATTAATACTATGTAGAAGCACTGAAAGATTCCTAAATCAGACACCTTTAAAAATTCAGGTTTTACAAGAACCAAGAGAGACTATGTAAAGGTGCAAATTTCCAATGATGAATGTCATTATATTGTATACCTAAAATGTACCAATTATTAGAATGAATAATCGATAATGTAAAATTGGAATAAAAGGTCCAAAGGGGTAGGGGTAGTGAGAGGCATGGGGAAAGGAAAGAAGGGAAAGGAAAAAATGATGAGAAATGGAAAAAATGGAAATAAAGTCTTTGTAAGTAGGGAAGGGTGGAGGGCGTGAAGGGAGGGTAGGAATGGGGAAAAAATAAGAACCAAGATGCATTATATAAAAGTACAATTCCCAATGAGAAATGTAATAGTGTTGTATACCTACAATGTACCAATAAAAGAATTTAATACAAAAAAAATTCAGGTTTTATTTGCCTATTACAGATTACAAATATCTTTTTATGTATACTGTTTTTAGCTTCAAGTGGGAGAAATGGGAACATTTGAGACCCATAGACCCATTGAGGAACACTTCTTGTCTGCAATACTTACAGGGTTCTCATGATGTAATCCACTGTTCACTTCACTAAAAATACAGTTAGAGGGCTGGAGTGAAGCTCATAGAGAGAGTGCTTGTCTAGCATGTGCAAGGCCCTGGGTTTGATCACCAGCACACAACAAACAAAAACTAAAAATAAAGATGCTGTTCTTGTGTGTGTTTGGGTTAGATTCTTTCTTTGAGCCTTAAAGTTAAAAAGATTCAGCTAACCTTTTTTATTACTTTGTAGATAGGAAACAGAATAACCATATAATAGGGAATCATTTATTGAACTTCTTTATAGACACTTGCATAGTGTTTTTTCCAGGTACCTATTCTGACTTTCTCCTCCTCTCCTTGTGCAGAGGATAGAAACTGTGTTGGGCAAGTAGTGTATCAATGAACTGCATCCCTAGTCCTTTGAGGTAGGTGCTTGCTAAATTGCCCAGGATGGCCTTGAACTTGTGATTCTCCTGCCACACCCCTTCTGTGTAGCTGGGATTATAGGTGTATACCACCTTGCTTGGCTCTAAGTACCTTTGAGACTTTGTTAATCCTTATAGTAACCTTTTGGAGTTGGTACTATTATCCCCATCTCTCTGGGGAAACTGAGGTATAAACTTGCTCAGGGTCATTCAGCTACTGAGTGGGAGAGCTGGAATTTGAGCCTGTTATCTGACTCCACAGTCCTAGGCTCATCACTACTGTCCTTTCATACTAATGGAGTTGACTATCCCTGCACCTAAGACCACTGTTCTGAGAAAGTCAGGGAGAGTGCCTTTGGCCCTTTGATAAGTCTGGGTAAGTAATATTCCATTTGTTTCAGTAGCTTTGAGAAGAATTATCTGTTAAGTGCTTGACTGCTCAGAATCTGTACCAAATACTTCCCGAGTTTGGATACATTTAGAATGTAAGGAGTGCCGATCTCAGGTGCATTTGGGTTAACTGTCCATGTAAAGCTTACCAAAAGATTAAAGAACATGAATACTTCACGTGTCTGTAGCACTCACAGAGTGCATAGTTCATCACATTTGATCCTCACACCAACTCTTGGAGGGAAGACAAGTATTAGTAGTTTCATTTTACAGATGATGCAACTGGGACTTTGAAAGTTTGAATGACTTTCCAGAAATCTCACAGATAGTAACAGTGTTAGTGCTCTAATCTAGTTCTCCTGGCTCTAAATGCAGTGATTTTTCCTCTATATTTATTTTTTTATAGAAATAAACTTTATTTTTAATTTTCAGAAGTATTAAAGTTGTAACACTTTGTATAAATTGTTAA